TCTTTCTGTTTCAGGTTCAGAGACGAAGGCAGGGAGAGGTTAAGAAGTGTTGTGGAGATAAAGTCCAGAGGGCAGTATGCATGATGTGTTGTGGGGTTAAGCAGAGATGATCCCAGGTTTCTGGCTAGGATGAGGGGTCAGGAAGCCAAGTACCCAGGAGAAGGAGCAGAGTGGAGAAGGAGATGGGGAGATGCTGAGCTGAGCTGTGTCTGTGTTGAAGGCACCAGAGACTGGTGTGAGGCAGTGGGACATGGGGGGATGGTACATTGGGACATCGGTGTGCAGAGCTCTGATGTGCTGGATGTGGAGGTTTGGGCTTCAGTGTTATCTTGGAGTCATGAAGCTGAAGGAGAGAGAAACTCTGGGAAAGGTGAGGGGGGTGAGTGCTGAGTCCTGGAGCATGACAGCCCCCAAATCCAAAGCCTGCTCTGGTCGTGGCACCCAGACCAAAGTGTGGGGCAGGGTCTGGCTGCCTCTCAGGAGCTCTCATGTCCAGTTGTGGGTGGGGGGATTAACACAGTTTACGGTGAAATAGCAGAATAACCTATCCCTGTACGCTTGGGGATGGGAAGTATATTCCTGGGCTGTCTGGGGCTCCATACGGGTCCCTCGGGAGTCCTCTTAGCCCCTGGACCTCTAGTGCTAATGTTCCCTCTCCTGCCTTCCTCTCCTGCCTGTCTTTCTCTTTATCTCCTTCTCTCTTGTCATCTCGTCTTTACTTCTCTGCTGCTTTGCTTCTGCGTGCCTCTTGTCCTACTGTTGTTTTATCTCCTTCTTTCCCTCCTTCTCATTCTGGGTCTGCCTCTGTCTCTCCCACATAGAGTGTCTTAGCACGAAAAGTCAAAATAGAGACTCTTTTGTCTTTATTTCCCCCCCCCTCTCTCTCAGCCTCTGAGTCCCTGCTGCCTCTCTTTGTCTGCGAACCTGTTTCAGTCTCTCCCCGTCTCTCTCTTTGCCTGTCTCTCCCTTTGTCTCTCTCCATCTCTCATTTGTGTGTGTGTCTGCCCCCCTCCTCTCTACTCTGTGCCTCCATTCTCTCCCTCCCCTTCCCCCTGCCCCTCTGCTGCCTCTAGGAAGAGGGCATAGATCACTGGGTAGGATTGGATGTCATTAAAAGCAAAAAAAAAAAAAAAAAAAAAAAAAAAAAAAAAAAAAAAAAAAAAAGGAGAAAGGACTCCTTTTCTCTGGTTGCCCCTGGGGAATGCCTAACAATGAGAGACACTTTGGTGTGTAATCGATAGGAACAAGATGCAACCAGACGTCTTTGTCCGGCAGCAGCAGCCGGCAGTTTCCACCGACCAGAGCCCTTGGGAGCGCCTGGCCCCTCGACCAGGCTCAAACACAGAGTATCACAGTGGAGCGACTTGAAGTGTGAGCCAAGCGCGTCCTGACCCGGGGGCACCTCATTTCCATCCCCTCCTCCCCCTCCCCACTCCTGCTTGAATAACGAGAATAGAAAGAGACACCTTCAGGAAGACAGCGTAGATTGTAGCCAGTGTAGGTTGCAGGGTTGGCCAAGAATCAAGAGTCTCTAGGTGGAACAAGACTTTTTTTAAAAAAAAGTATTTATTTATCATTGAAGGATAATTGCTTTACAATAGTGTGTTGGTTTCTGCCAGATATCAACATGAGTCAGCCATAGGTATACGTATGCCCCCTTCCTCTTGGACCTCCTTCCCGCCTCCCACCCCTCTGCTCCCTCTGGGTTATTGCAGAGCCCCCAGTTTGAGTTCCCTGAGTCATACAAGTTCCCACTGGCCGTCTATTTTACACATGGTAGTGCATATGTTTCCATGCTACTCTCTCCATTCGTCCCACCCTCTCCTTCCTCCCGCCCCACCCATGTCCATATATCTGTTCTCTATGCCTACATCTCCATTGCTGCCATGCAAATAGGTTCATCAGTACTATCTTTCTAGATTCCATATATATATGTGTTAACATGCAATATTTGTTTTTCTCTTTCTGACTTACTTCACTCTGTATAACAGGCTCTAGATTCATCGATCTCATTAGAACTGACTCAAGTGTATTCCTTTTTGTGGATGAGTAATATCCCACTGTATATATGTACCACAGCTTCTTGGAAGGAGATTTTTAATCCTTCAAAGTCCCAATTTCCTTATATGTAAAAATAGGGGGACTCATACCTATGATCCATTCTAGGCAAGGCAGCCAGTTTAAATTTTGAAAAATTAAATCTGATCGGTGTCTCCCCAACTTAACTCCCACGGTATGGGTCATATCTCTCTGTTTCACTGCTCAGTCCTAGCACCAGGCTCTCAGGAGGTGTTTAATGAGCATATGTGGTATCATGGAGCTTCCTGCTTCTAGACTGTAGTGCCTGGCTGGCCTCAGAGAAGGAACTCTTGATTTCCCAGGATGTGAACTCTAGGAATGAGTCTAGATGTCTGTCCTTCCTGGCCAGCTCCATCTTCCTTTCTTATTTCCCCCTGCCTGCATGTGTCCCTCAGATGTTATGAGAATGAAAAAGTAGTGAGAGACACAGGCAGGAATTCAGAACACTGGCCTCTTTATTTTTTTAAATTGAAGTATAGTTGCTGTATAATATTATATAAGTTATAGGAGTACAGTATGCTGCTGCTAAGTCACTTCAGATGTGTCCGACTCTGTGCAACCGCAGAGACGGCAGCCCACCAGCCTCGCCCATCCATGGGATTCTCCAGGCAAGAACGCTGGAGTAGGTTGCCATTTCCTTCTCCAATGCGTGAAAATGAAGTCGCTCAGTGGTGTCCGACTCTTAGCAACCCCATGGACTGTAGCCTACCAGGCTCCTCCATCCATGGGATTTTCCAGGCAAGAGTACTGGAGTGGGGTGCCATTGCCTTCTCCGGTGTACAGTATAGTGGGTCACAATTTTTAAAGGTTATATTCCATTTATAGTTATGATAAAATATTGGCTATATTCCCCATGTTGCATATCCTTGTAGCTTATTTCATACCTGATAGTTTCCTGATAGTTTATGCCTCTTACTCTCCTCCTCCTTCCCCTCTCTTCACTGACAACCACTAGTTTGTTCTCTATATCCGTGAATCTGCTTCTTTTTAGTTACATTTATTAGTTTGTTGTATTTTTTAGATTCCACATATAAATGATATCATACAATACTTTTTGTCCTCTGACTTATTTCTCTTAGCATAATGCCCTCTAAGTTCATCCATGTTGCTGGAAATGGCAAAATTTCATTCTTTTTCATGGCAGAGTAATATTCCAGTGTCAGTTTCCCAGGTGGCTCCGTGGTAAAGAATCTACCTGCCAATGCAGGAGATGCAGGTTTGATCCCTGGGTCAGGAAGATCCCTGGGGGGAGGAAATGGCAACCCACTCCAGTATTCTTGGCTGGAAAATCCCATGAAGAGAGGATCCTGGTACGCTACAGTTCATGGAATCTCAAAGAATCAGACATGACTGAGCATGCACACAATATTCCATTGTATGTATGTATGTATCTATATATACACACATTCACAATATAAACCATTTTTGTATAGATATACTACAATTTGTACAAATTGTACAACTTCTACACAGAAGAACTGCACAAAAAAGATCTTCATGACCCAGATAATCATGATGGTGTGATCACTTACCTAGAGCCATACATCCTGGAATGTGAAGTCAAGTGGGCCTTAGGAAGCATCACTATGAACAAAGCTAGTGGAGGTGATGGAATTCCAGCTGAGCTATTTCAAATCCTAAAAGATGATGCTGTGAAAGTGCTACACTCAATATGCCAGCAAATTTGGAAGACTCAGCAGTGGCCATAGGACTGGAAAAGGTCACTTTTCATTCCAATCCCAAAGAAAGGCAATGCCAAAGAATGTTCAAACTATCTCACAATTGCACTCATCTCACACACTAGTAAAGTAATGCTCAAAATTCTCCAAGCCACGCTTCAGCAATATGTGAACCATGAACTTCCAGATGGTCAAGCTGGTTTTAGAAAAGGCAGAAGAACCAGAGATCAAAATGGCAACATCTGCTGGATCATTGAAAAAGCAAGAGAGTTCCAGTAAAACATCCATTTCTGCTTTATTGACTATGCCAAAGCCTTTGACTGTGTGGATCACAATAAACTGTGGAAAATTCTGAAAGAGATAGGAATACCAGACCGCCTGACCTGCCTCTTGAGAAACCTGTATGCAGGTCAGGAAGCAACAGTTAGAACTGGACATGGAACAACAGACTGGTTCCAAATAGGAAAAGGATACGTCAAGGCTGTATATTGTCACCCTGCTTATTTAACTTATATGCAGAGTACATCATGAGAAATGCTGGACTGGATGAAGCACAAGCTGAAATCAAGATTGCTGGGAGAAATATCAATAACCTCAGATATGCAGATGACACCACCTTTGTGGCAGAAAGTAGAGAACTAAAGAGCCTCTTGATGAAAGTGAAAGAGGAGAGTGAAAAAGTTGGCTTAAAACTCAAAATTCAGAAAACTGAGATCATGGCGTCCAGTCCCATCACTTCATGGGAAATAGACGGGGAAACAGTGGCTGACTTTATTTTTTTGGGATCCAAAATCACTGCAGATGGCGACTGGAGCCATGAAATTAAAAGATGCTTACTCCTTGGAAGGAAAGTTATGACCAACTTAGACAGCATATTAAAAAGCAGAGACATTACTTTGCCAACAAAGGTCTGTCTCGTCAAGGCTATGTTTTTTCCAGTGGTCATGTATGGATGTGAGATTTAGACTATAAAGAAAGCTGAGGACCAAAGATTGATGCTTTTGAACTGTGGTGTTGGAGAAGATTCTTGAGAGTCCCTTGGACTGCAAGGAGATCTAGCCAGTCCATCTTAAGGAGATCAGTCCTGAGTGTTCTTTGGAAGGACTGATGTTGAAGCTGAAACTCCAATACTTTGGCCACCTCATGCAAAGAGCTGACTCATTTGAAAAGACCGTGATGCTGGGAAAGATTGAAGGTGGGAGGAGAAGGGGACGACAGAGGATGAGATGGTTGGATGGCATCACCAACTCAGTGGAGATGAGTTTGTGTAAACTCTGGAAGTTGGTGATGTACAGGGACGCCTGGCATCCTGTGGTCCTTGGGTTCGTGAAGAGTCGGACATGACTGAGTGACTGAACTGAACTGAACATCTTTTATTCCATAACAGTCACAGAGTTTCAGCTTCCCCAGTTGAACCCTGATCATTGTGGGGTGGATGGGGCACTCTTGTTTAGCTTGGGAGAAGACACTAAGATTGAGTGCAGAAAAGGAGTAAGCAGGTGGATGTCAAATAATTATCACATGGTCTGGAGGCCATATGAAGACATGGAAACCAGGGCAGCTGCAGAAAGAGGATACGGGCAAGGTTGAAGCCTTGAAAAGAGTGGGGAAGCTGTAGAAAATATGTATAATGAATAGAATAAAGAGTTGAGAGACTTGCTGGACAATTCAAGAGACTGGGAAGCATTACAGGGGCATAAAAATGAGAAGACCTGGACTCAAGTCCTAAATACACACCCGATTAGTTCTATTGCCTCAAATAGGTCACATGTTTTCTTCTCCATGGTTATTGTCTGTCTTTTCTCTCCCCTCCTCTGTTCTGCTTTATATTTTAAGAAAGTACATCCCCCAGCTTCCAATTAGGTCTGGTCGATGCATGGTCCTAGAGGAAAATTGGATGAGGGAGGAGGGAAGCCAGGGTATCTGCCACCTGCAGTCCCGCTGAATCTGCCCACAGTGCTCACTCTCAGCAGCCTCTTCCTCATGGGTCCCAGCTTCTGGCTGGCTGTTTCTTGATCCAGCCAGAGGCCTGAAACGGCAAAAGTTTCACATTTGCTGCTACTCTGATTGCCACTTCAGCTCTCTGAGCATCACTGCATGATGAGGTCCCTGTATTCAGTTCTCTGTGTTTGAGGTATTAGAGTGGCTTTGTTTTCTTGACGGATACGCTCATCTGTACTGATACTGCTCACTTTCCAGGGCTAGTGTGAGATGATGGGTGTCTCATTAAAGCAGATGGGGAAAAGGTAGGAAGAAAGGAAAAAGCTTCTCTATTAACATGGGCACATCTCCCTCGGATTGCTTCCACTGAGTGACTCACACCACATGCCAAAGGCTTTTCATTTGTTGCACATTATTTTTACTCTCTGTGTGACCCTGGGTGGCTTACTTTAACTCTATGTGCCTCAGTCTTCTCATCTATAAAACAGATAGGGAGTACTGGAGACAGCAGAATGCCTACCCCATAGGGTTATTGGGAAAATGGGATGAAATACTACATGTAAAAAGCTTAGGGCAGAGTCTGGCACATACTAACTAGTCAGTAAGTGTTAGCTATAATTATTATAAATTTCAGCTGTTATTATTGCTTTTTAAAATGACTATTTCACAAAATGTTCAAGGAAACTAAGGATTAGTAAGGTTATATGACTAGGAGCTTCCCAGGTGGCTCAGTGGTAAAGAATCCATCTGCCAATGCAGAAGACACAGGAGATGGGGGTTCAATCCCTGGGGCAGGAAGTCCCCTGGAGGAGGAAATGGCAACCCACTCCAGTATTCTTGCCTGGAAATTCCCATGGACAGAGGAGCCTGGCAAACTACAGTCCACAGGGTCACAAAAGAGTCGGACACTACTCAGCAACTGAGCACACACACAAAATTATATGACTATCTCAGAGTTCGCAGGTTATAAAACTTGATCTCAGGTCTCTCTGACTCCAAAATAGTGCTCTTTCCCTTTGCCTATGTTGGGGACACCCAACTGTGCATACCCAGGGCCACACCAGCAGTGACTGCTACAGGAGCAGCCCTGGCTTCTTTGCTCTCCCTCCCCATCCCTTATACAAGCATCTATATTTAAATCCCAGAGAAGGCAGTGGCACCCCACTCCAATACTCTTGCCTGGAAAATCCCAGGGACGGAGGAGCCTGGTGGGCTGCAGTCCATGGGGTCGCTAAAAGTCGGACACGACTGAGTGACTTCACTTTCATTTTCCATTTTCATGCATTGGAGAAGGAAATGGCAACCCACTCCAGTATTCTTGCCTGGAGAATCCCAGGGACGGGGGAGCCTGGTGGGCTGCTATCTAGGACACGACTGAAGTGACTTAGCAGCAGCATCATGTTTAAATCCAAGTGCCACCAAGGCAGGGCCCTAAGAACAGGGTGGACTTGACCCTGGTAATAAGTTCCCTGAGATGCCTTGGCTAGGAGAGGGGTAGCCGGAGAGACAGAGAAGAGCAGCCACTGACCCAGGAGGGGGGCATATCTCTCCTCTAGAGCAGGGGTCCCCAACCTCCAGGATCTAATGCCTGATGATCTGAGATGGAGCTGATGTAAAAATAATAGAAATAAAGTGCAGAATAAATGTAAAGTTCTTGAATGATCTGGAAACTACGCCTCTCTAGTCTGTCGAAAAATTGTCTTCCATGAAACCAGTCCCCAGTGCCAAAAAGGTTAGGGGCCTCTGCAGAGGAGCTGTGTGCATTCTTGGGGCCTTTATTACCAACAGGCAGTGTTCAGCTAGGCTCTCGCCTCCTCCAGCCCCTCCTCAGCCCCAAATATATTGAGCTGTGTTGGAGGCAAAGTATATTTTTAGCCTTATTGGACCCTCAGGGTGATGGCTACAGTGGAGAAGGGCCAGGGAGCAGTGTCAGGCTTTGAACCCCTCTTCCAGCACCCCTCCCCCCATCCTCCCAAGAGCTGCCGCCCGGCAGACAGCTGCCACCTCACAAGCCAAATGGTCAAGTTTTCTTCAAATCTGTGTTCAGTCATGTCTGACTCTTTGCAACCCTGTGGTCTATAACCTGCTAAGCTCTTCTGTCCATGGAATTGTCCAGGCAAGAATACTGGAGTGGGTCGCCATTTCTTCCTCCAGGGGATCTTCTCTACCCTGGGATTAAACCTGTGTCTCTCGCATCTCCTGCATTGGTAGGTGGATTGTTTATCACTATGCCACCCGGGGAAGCTTCTGCTTCAAGGCTAGCATTGACCAAAACAACTTCCAACCATGGTTCTTTGCAGACCAGTGATTCTGTATATTTGAAATTCAGTTTATGGCCACAGCAAACTCTTCCCTCCTCTGCAATCTGCCCCTCCCCTACCAACACTGGGCTCACCACTGTACCAGAGTGGAGAATACAAACATTCATATCAGTAATATTTGTGCAGGTTAAGCATATTTATGTATGTTATCTCATTGGAGGCTCTTAACTACCTCTGTAAGCTAAGTGTACAAGCCAAGGAAGAAATCCAACGTCACAGTGATGGTGTAATCCACCCAGGTTATGTAAGTAGAACGAGGTGGCACCAGAATTCACACCTAGAGGTATCTGGCCCCAAAGTCAGAACTCTTAATCCTATGCCACGCTGCCCCTGAAGTTCCTGATGCTAATTTAGATGTTAAGTTCTGACTTGGTAGCTTAACAGCTGATTTTTACTGTCCTAGAGTATCGCATCAAAACAGGGTTTGACCAAACAACCAGAAAACACATGTCTTCACTAAGGATGCATGACCCTCGAGTCCAGATCAGAACTTTGAAATACTGTTAGGGCCTCCTCTGACCCCATCTAATGCACCATAGCCATTTGTGGAACACTTAATATGCACCGTGCCCTTTTCATGTAGACGTCATTGTGAAATGGAGATTGCTGTTGTCATTTTACAGTTAAGATCCTGTTTGGGATGACATGGCTAGTTAATAACAGTTGGAGCATTCACAACTAGGCTTCTCCAGGCCTAAAAATCACTTCTAAAGTATCTGACTCTTCCTGCTATGTCATACTGCATTGAATTCTTTAATGATGCTGAAGGAAAAATTGTAGTAAAGAGCCTAAGAAGGCATATTGACCCTTCTCTTACAACAGTAGTTAACATCTATTGTCCACTAGGATTGTGCCTGGCTGCAAGGAATAGAAGACTGACCACAGTGCTTAAACAAATATAGCTTTATTTTTCTTAGGGAACAAGAATCAGATGGATGATCTAGACCTCGTGCAACTTCTCAAGCAAATACTCAAGGACCTAGGCCCCTTCTCGCTTTCTGCTCTGATATACTGAATATAGAACTTTTGTCTCTGTGGTTGCAAGACAGATATCTTGTCTCTAAGCATCAAGTCTGCATGCCAAGCAGGAGGAAGTTTAAAGGGTAAAAACCATACTTCAGTGGAGTCTGTCTCTATCAGCGAAATGATAACTCTTCTGGAAATTCTGCTCAGTAGACTTTAGCTTACATCTAACTGGCTGCAAATGGTCAGTTGGCTACATGTGGCTACAAGAGAATCTGGGGTGTGAATATTTCTAAGGAGGTGCATGGTGTCCTGAAATGAGTCAGAGTTCTGTTAATATAATAAAGGAGAGTGGAGATGGGTAAGAGCTAGAAGTGTTTGCCACCAATTTGCACTAGGCTGAGCAGTAATGACCTCAATAATCCCTTACATTGATCCAGGCTTTTAATTTCCCCAAAACACTTTCATGTGCATTATCCCTTTTAATCTCCCTCCGTGAAAACCTTTTAAAGTAGGTAGGGTATGAATCACCAGGAATCATGCAGGTCTGACATCAATATTTCCCATTTTACAAAAGAGGAAACTGAGGCTCAGAGGGTTTAAGTCACTTGCTCAGTCATAGGACTAGTAAATGATAAAACCTGGAATGGATTCAGTATCCTGGGACGCACTGTGACTTTAAGTCATTTTTTTCTCTCTGCCTATCCAATGAATAACAATAATCCTACTAACTTCATAAGGTTGTGAAGACTCAATGACCACCCCCCGCCAACTGCCTGCATATCTTAAGTGCTCAGAAAAAAAGGAAAATGAGCATTTTATGGAGCCTAATACATTTTCCTGATCATCTTCTAAGCAAGTTAGTATCCTTCCTCCAACTTACCATTTCTTTTTAAGCTGGAGTATAAAACTTATCAAACTATTTACACCTTTTCCCTATGCATGAGGGATACATAATCCCCATTAAACTGAGAGGTTTGTGAGGGCATGTTTTGAAGGAACCTATTTCTAGGACTCATGTTTTCACTAAGGGAGTTCCACTTCATTTCTTAGGAGGAAAAAAATACTTGAGAAACCTTTCTATCCCAACTCTTTACCTTTTAACCATCTCACCTTATGAAGGAAAACTAACTTCCTCCCTCCCTCCCTCTCTCTCTCTCTCCTTCTCCCTCCTTCCCTCCTTTCCTTCCTCTCTTCTCTCAAGGTTTTTTTTCAATGGAATGGGAAGAAATTCCTCTTGATTGATAGAGTTAATGTGTTATAAATGACACTTCTGGTGCAAGGCAAGTGCTAAATCCAGTGTAGTTGGTTGAGTAATTATCTGTTTCAGAGTTTTTCCTTGGCCAGAACACAAGGGCTATATTTGATGGTAAAGGCATGAGGTGGTCTAGGAGAAAGCCTGATTCTGACATTTGATGCCTGATGTTCACTATGCAGCTCTGAAAGCAATAATGTTGCTACCTTGACCTCCACTCAACTTCCTTGTCATTTTCTCATTAGTTTTGGGGCTGAGCAGCAGGGCAACACTCTATAGCAGACATGGCTGTTGTCATTTTCTGCTTCCCGGGCGCATGGGGAAGATGTGTATGTGTGTGTGTGTGGCCTCAGTTGCATTCATCTCATTGAGACCTCACTGACTGTAGCCCACCAGGCTCCTCTGTCCAGGAATTTTCCTTAAAAGAATATTGGAGTGGGTTGCAATTTCCTCCTCCAGGGGATCTTTCCAACCCAGGGATTGAAGCCACTATCTCCCACATCTTCTACATTGGCAGGCAGATTCTTTACACTGAGCCACCCAGGAATCCCATGCAGACAAATAATGCTTGCCCCCATAATGAATGAATAAATGTATGATGGAAGTGAAAGCACCTTATAAACTGTAAAGTGCTATCACATGGAAATTATTAGTATTATTACACATTTAATAAAAATCCTCCTGTTGCTGAGAGGAATAATCTTGACTTTTAATGGAACATAATCTCTTCAGGAGGCCTGGAAACGTAATAAAGAGGAGGTATTTGCAGAAGAAAAAGGTAGAAAGTGTTATCTCAGTGTTTTCAATCAGGACATACCAGGTACTTTTGGGGTGAGAGTGAATAAAACCTGGTCAACAGGAAGTTAATGGGGAGGCAGATATATACAAGAGTAACTGTAGGTAAGATATTAAGCAAGTGCTGTAAACCAGTTGCTATGAAAGCATAGAATAGGAGGAGATTCATTTTAACCAGGAGGTGATGTAAGTATGGAGTTAAGAAGCCTGGGAGGAGATATTCAAGCTGAGGTTAATGAATGACTATGTCCCCCTATGTTTAATTAGGTCCCAGTTGTTTATTTTTGTTTTTATTTCCGTTACTCTGGGAGGTGGATCATAGAGGATCTTGCTGTGATTTATGTCAGAGAGTGTTCTGTCCATCTTTTCCTCTAAGAGTTTTACAGTTTCTGGTCTTACATTTAGATCTTTAATCCATTTTGAGTTTATTTTGTGTATGATGTTAGAAAGTGTTCTAGTTTCATTCTTTTACAGATGGTTGATCAGTTTTCCTGGCACCACTTGTTAAAGAGATTGTCTTTTCTCTATTGTATATTTTTACCTCCTTTGTCAAAGATAAGGTGTTCATAGGTGCATAGATTTATCTCTGGGCTTACAATTTTATTCCATTGATCTATCTTTCTGCCTTTCTGCCAGTATCTTGATGACTCTAGCTTTGTAGTATAGTCTGACGTCAGGTAGGTTGATTCCTCCAGTTCCATTCTTCTTTCTCAAGATTGCTTTGGCTAGTTGAGGTTTTTGTGTTTCCAGGTGAATGTGGGTGTTGGGAAGGGTCAGAGAGATACTATTGGGAAGACTTTTTTAAAATAATTTTTTAAAAATTTATTTTTGGCTCTGCTGGTCTTCTTTGCTGCATAGAGGGTTTCTCTAGTTACGGTGAGCAGGGGCTGCTCTTTACTGCAGTGTGCAGGCCTCTCTGCTGGCAGAGCACAGGCTCTCAGTGCATGGGCTTCAGCAGTGATGGTGCGTTGGCTTATGCACCTGCGACATGTGGAATCTTCCTGGACGAGGGATTGAGCTCATGTCCCCTGAATTGGCAGGTAGGTTCTTAACCACTAAAGCACCATGGAAGACCTTGGCAGGATTTTAAAATCTGAGTCTTAAAATCAACCGGATAGGGCATTGTCTTTGTTTTGGTTCTCTCGGAGGTAAACTCTCAGACAAAGTTTCAGATGCTAATACTTAATTTGGGAGGTAATACAAGATGCACTAGTAGGAGAGAGGGAATGTGAAACAGTGGGGGAAAAAAGCCAATAAAAGATGCTTTACCAAATGCACTACTGTTTAGGGGAAATGGCACATAATACCACTGGGAAATTCTAGGAGCCAGTTTTGAACATTTACCGCAAGGTTATTCCACCCAAGGTGCAAGGGAGCTAGGCTATTTCTGCTTGTCCTGTGGTGGACAGAGAAGTTTTTGGTGGCCAAAGAAAACATCAGGCAAAGTTGCAGATGCCAGCTTTTGAACGATGGACTGATCTCAGAGGAAATGGTGATGTTGAGGCAGTAAAGGTAGGATGACAATACTGTCTGTTGTAGTCTACCTCTTGGACTGCTCAAGTCTACTTATGCCCAAGTTTCCTGCAACTTGTCACTGATTCTGCAAGACTGTGACCTGCCATAACTCTTGAAGCAGACAAATGAACAAACAAACAAAAGCTCAGCTGCAGAAGGGGCAATAGGATGTAGTCTCTGCCCCTGCAGCTGTCATTAAGGCCATTTGATAATCATTCCCTCCCCTCATTCAAAATTGCACTTACTCTTGGCTAGCACTTCCCGAGCTTACACTTCTTGGCCAGTGTGGGGTAACCCAGTTTCTTATCTGTGAGGTGTCAGAACTGTTAGTTATTCACCTCTGGTACTATAGCAACTCCTTTTAAAAACTGGCTTCTCTACTGGCTTGAGAAGTTCAAAATATTGAGAGAGCAAACATTTTGCACAAGTTCCCCCAGGGTGTCACTGGGAGTGATGGTGACAAAGGTCATTTCTTCCCCACTCTTCTTCTTGGATCCATGTATTGTACCTGTCAGCCATGGCCATCACCACAGATTGATCATTGGTTCAAAATATAAACTGTATTTTCTAGCAAGATGGCACTCTAACACTGCAAGGTGTCATCCCGGAACGTGCTTTAGCTGTGCTTTTAAGGGCCATTCAAACATTCTATCAAGCCAAGCAGCTTTGAATGGTGTGATATATGGCTGCATCAATGGAGCTCATGGTCATATGACATGACTATTGCTTACAACTGCTGACATAAATTGGTTACCTGGTTCCAAGATTCTGTTATGCAGGAGCCCATGAGCCCCTTGGGTGGTGGTGGTAGTGATGGTGGCTGAAAAACTGTGGGAAAGAAAGGCAGACTTATACCTGGATTATGTATCTATCCCAATTAGAACAAATCAATACCTCCTCCAGAATGGAGGAAGACTGATGATCATTATTAGCTTGCCACCAAGTAGCTAGTTAGTCTGCTCAAGAGATGGTGCCATAATCAATGTTCAGATTGGGGCTCTGCTGTCTATAGATTAGACATTCAGCAGCAGTGGCTCGGTCTGTCTCTGTGAGAGGAGCCGGTGCTGTGGGGCCTGGCTTCCACTTTTGACACATAGATATTTGGTTTTTGAGTCCACTGGGCAAGAAGTGTGGTGGCTGAGGACAGAAACCTCATCGCCTACCTGGAGTGAATTGTGATATCCAATTGGTTGTTTAGTTCATTTTCTATAGCAGATGACTTCTTGTGGGGCTAGATATGAGACCTCCAAGCAGAGCTGTTGGACAGAAGCAATATATTATCAGGCTATACCAGTATATGAAGTTGACTCCTACTGAATAGTCCTGGACTTTTACCTACTTTGTGGGTATTAGGGATTCCCCAGAAAACTCAAAGGTGTGAACTGAGAAAGAAATTTAGGTATAAAAGAGGTAGGTTACATAATTACTACTAATAAATATGAAATTTCACCTTGGAAAAGATACATGAAGTTCAATTATTGATGTGGCCATTATAAAGTTGCAACTTGTGAATTATTGTGAAGTGGTAAATGGAGGATTATTTGAAATTGGACACAGTTTTATACCAGATATGGATGAGTGTGGCTCATAACACATGCAGTACAATGAGGTAGCTGGTACATGTTTGAAGTGTGTACATGTGTTACTGTTGTTTGGTCTCTAGGTCATGCCCGACTCTTTTGTGACCCCATGGACTATAACCTGCCTATGGACAGGCTCCTCTGTCCATAGGATTTCCCAGGCAAGAATACTGGAGTGGATTGCTGTTTCCTTCTCCAGGGGATCTTCCCGACTCAGGGATCAAACCCATGCCTCCGGCATTGGCAGGCGGTTTCTTTACCACTGAGCCACTTTGTATATTCCTATGTGGCTTTATTCACCTGGGTGTTCTCATAGCTTACTTAGTGTTTCTTGCAAGACAAAAGCACTCACAAACAAACGTGAAATTGTTATGCTCGAATTGTCCCTAAAATGTCGATCATTTTGGAACAAATTTATGTTTTCAAAAGAAGCACTATAAAAGAACTGACTGCATCTCTACAAACATTGGTTATGTAGCAGGCCTAGAATCTTCTTAAGGTTTATTTCCCATCCTCTGTTGTGCATGTGTCAGAGGGGGGCATCCAGGTGACTTGTCATTTTCTGCCCTGGAATTCTGACTAACATGAGGTCATCAATATAGTGGAGCAGTATGACCTGCCGAGGAATGTCCAGATGATCAACTTACCTCTTCTTAATGGCATATCCAATAGTAAAAGTTAATGGAAAACGACAACAACCAGAGTAAGCCAGGACAAATGATTCAAGCTCCTCAAGAATGAAGAGTTAGATCACACTGTCAGGTAAGGAACCCAATCATTTGAGGTCCTGACTGAGAACAAAGGAAATAAGGAATAATAAAGAAGTTATAAATACCAACTATGGCCTTTGACCCATGAAAGAAACAAGGATGGTAGCAGCTATTATAGTTATTTCTTTGTTTGTTATGAATACATACACATACATACACCCATGCAAATAAATATATATACACTATTTTCTTTTTTTCTTTCTCTCCTCCTTTCCCCTTATTAGCCCACATGAGGACTGATGTTGGTGATTAGTGTTGCAATATGGTGTTTAATTTAGAAAATATTCAGGAGTAGCTCTGATTACATCTGAGAAATTCAAATATATACAGAGCTGGGTGTGGGTGCTGAGTAACCAAAGGGGTGGACTGTGCTGGTTATTAAGCTATGACTGTCTGTCAACTTCAAATCTACTATTTCTTATACTGTTTTGCAATGCTGGGACTGGGACTGTAAAAATGCATTTCTCTGTTATTAGCTGGCTTCATGCTAGTTTCTGCAAGACTAGAAGCCGAAAGAGGGAGAAGGCCTTCAGGTTCCCAGTTTTCTTCCTCCTCCTGCTACTGCTAGCCCAGCACAGCTCCTCACCCTGGAAGCAGTATTTGGCTCAGTGTCAGGCTGTTTCAGTTTCTAAGCTCTTGTCACACTCCCATAACCAACCTCTTTGCCTCTGAGGAAAAAAGTCCAGAACAACTGTGTTCCCCTCCTTGGGGGTTTGAATCTTGGTTCCAACATCACTGAGCTGTATAAAAGGGTGTATTTGGAGTTGGGAGGCAATGGTTTAATAACCTGTGCATGCTACTTACAAAAACATAAAATATACAAACAATAAGAGCTGGAGAGGATGTGGAGAGAAAGGGAACCCTCTTGCACTGTTGGTGGGAACGTAAATTGATACAACCACTACGGAGAATAGTATGGACATTCCTTTAAAATGCTAGGAGTAAAACTACCTTCAGTCAGTTCAGTCAGTCAGTCAGTTGTGTCCAACTCTTTGCGACCCTATGAACTTCAGCATGCCAGGCTTCCCTGTCCATCACCAACTCCTGGAGTTTGCTCAAACTCATGTCCATCCAATCGGTGATGCCATCTAGCCATCTCATCTGGAGAAGGGAATGACAAACCACTTTAGTGTTCTTGCCTTGAGAATCCCATGAACAGCATGAAACTATCATAATCCAGCAATCCTACTGCTGGGCATATACCCTGAGAAAATCGTAATTGAAAAAGACACATGTACCCCAATGTTAATAGTAACATTATTTACAATGGGTAGGACATGGAAGGAGAAGGAAATGGCAGCCCCTTTCAGTGTTCTTGCCTGGAGAATCCCAGGGATGGGGGAGCCTGGTGGGCTGCCTTCTATGGGGTCGCACAGAGTCGGACACGACTGAAGCGACTTAGCAGCAGCAGCAGCAGTAGGACATGGAAGCAACCTAAATGTCCATTGACAGATGAATAGATAAAGAAGATGAGGCACATATATACAATGGAATATTACTCAGCCATAAAAAAGAATGAATTTGAGTCAGTTCGAATTTGAACTGACTCAAATTAGAGTCAGTTCAGCTCTAATTTGATGGACTTAGAGCCTGCTATAGAGTGCAATAAGTCAGAAAGAGAAAAACAAATATCATATATTTATGCATATATGTATGGGCAATCTAGAAAAATGATATCGATGAACCTATTTGCAGGGAAGGACTGGAGATGCAGATATAGAGAACAGACTTGTGGACACAGTGGAGGAAGGAGAAGGTGGGACATGGAGAAAGTAGCACAGACATATGTATACACCATGTGTAATATACATAGCTGGTGAGGAGTTGCTATATAACACAGAGAGCCCAGCCAGCTCTGTGATGACCTAGAGGAGGGGTGGGATGGGGGAGGGAAGGGAGGTTTCCGAGGGAGGTGATATATGTATAATTATGGCTGATTTGCATTGTTGTACAGCAGAAACCATCACAACGCTGTAAAGCAGTTATCCTGCAATTAAAAAATAAATTAAAAAAACATTCCCCAAGTGTTTGTCCTTCAGAAATAACCCCCTCTTGGGTCATAAAGTGAGCCTGCTGACTCTAGAAAGAGGGTGAACTTCTGCTTCTGCTCCTACTGGGGACAGAAAGTACTCTGTTTTTGTGGAAAGCCTCAGGGTCTCTCCAGGTCTGAGAGGGAAATAAGGACTACCTCGGAGGCTCTCTGATGCAGTAACAGGACACAACAGGGCAGGAGAAGACTGGATGCCACTACCCTCAACCCATAGCCTGAGACAAGGAGTTGAGGCAGGGCTTTGTGCAAACCTTTGTTTCCAGCCTTCTGGCAAGCTGGAAAACAAAACTTTCCACAGTGTCCATCTTAATTATGCATGAACACAGTTGATTTGCATATCCAAATATGCACCAACGTGGAGTGAATGGATAATCGCTGCCTGGTGGTTGGCTGCAGAAGAATGAAAAAAATGGGCAAGGCTTGCAATGTCCTCTAACCTGTGTACTAACCTGTCTGATCCATCCCCACTAACAGAACTGTGAGGATTGTGGAACTGGCTAAATTCGAATGTCTTTGCTTTTTTCCCCTTTTTTCTCACTCATTGCCAGGCCTCACCAGCAGCTTCCTTGCAGCCTCTCATACTTCTTGATACCTTTAGATTTTCTTAGCCTTTCAGAGAATAATTTGATGGGTAAAATATCCCACTAGGTCACAATGCATGTATGCACGCTCAGTCACTTCAATTGTGTCTGACTCTTTCCGAACCCATGGACTTAAGCCCACCAGGCTCCTCTGTCCATGAGATTTTCCTGACAAGAATACTGGAGTGGGTTGCCATGACCTCTTCCAGGGAATCTTCCTGACCCAGGAATCAAACACACGTTTCCTAAATTGCAGGCGGATTCTTTACCACTGAGCCACCGGGGAAGTCCCCTGGGTCAGGATGGGCCCTTGGCAAATCTCTGTATTTGCTTGGACCTTAATTTCCCCACTTGCCAACAAGGAATTTGGACTAGATGATCTTTAAAGACATTCCCGGCCTACAAATCCTAAAGCTGTATGAAAGTGAAAGTCGCTCAGTTGTGTCTGACTCTTTGAGACCCCATGGAACATACAGTCCATGTAATTCTCCAGGCCAGAATACTGGAGTGGGTAGCCTTTCCCTTCTCCAGGGGATCTTCCCAACCCAGGGATTGAACCCAGGCCTCCTGCATTGCAGGCAGATTCTTTACCAGCTGAGTCACCGGGGAAGCCCAAGAATACTGAAGTGGGTAGCCTATCCCTTCTCCAGGGGATCTTCCTGACCCAGGAATCAATCTGGAGTTTCCTGCATTGTAGGCGGATTCTTTACCAGCTGAGCCATCAGGGAAGCCCAGAGCTGTACATTATGGACTAAACTGTATCCCGTCAAAATTCACATGTTGAGGTCCTTACCGCCAGTGTTATTTGGTATTAGGAAATGGAGGCTTTGGGATCATGAAGGTGGAGCCCTGATAATATGGGATCTGTGCCTTTATAAGAAGAGATACCAGAGAGCTCCTCTCTTCTTCTCTCTCTCTCTCTCTCCCATGTGAGGACACAGCAAGAGGGGAGCCATCTACAAGCCAGGCAGAGCCTGCACCTGAAACTAAACCCTGCTCCACCTTGATCTTAGACTTCCCGACTCCAGAGCTTTGAGAAAATACATTTCTGCTGCTCAAGCCACTCAGTCGATGGCATTATGTTATGATAGCCCGAGCTAAGGCACTGTGACTCTGCTTTTCTGATCTGGGCAAGTTCTGTCTCCTCCTTGCTCTGCAGTTTTCTCACTGGTAATTGAGGAGTTTAGGTTTGATTAAATTTTATCTAGGGACCTTTCCACATTTGAAGTTCTCTGATTCTTACTCTTCAGTGTCACTGGTGGAATGTACTGCTCCTTCTGGAGGTACTTTCAAAGAATTGAAATAATAGTCTTCTCTTCCCTTTCTTTCCCTTCTCTCTCCTTCCCTTCTTTTCTATTCTTCCTTACTTCCCCTCCCCTCCTCCTCCTCTCTCTTTCCCTTCCTTCCTTTTGGTTACAAGTGACACAAGCAAACTTGAATGTAACCATGGAGAGGAATGTTTTGTCCTTAGGAAACCAAAATCAAGGAACAGTCTAACTACCAACATTCAGTAATTGCAGGCATGCAACTGGGTCTTGGGAACTCTAGGATGTAGGTTCAAAAGCCTCCTGCTCTTTTCCATGTTGTAACTTCATTTGCTCTTACCATAGGTCAGTATTTTCCCAGGGTGAGACACATCGTAGGAAAAGTCTTGAGTTTTACATCTGCCTCTAGGAGGGACCAACCTTGGCATTCTGGGTTTCTGTTTCAAAAATCCCAGAAAGGGGAGTTCTTAGCCAAGCTTGGTGCAGGTGCCATCTCTGAACCAATCAGCTGCAGCTCAGAGTCAGGGGAGCTTAAAAACCAAGTCTCACTTAGTGGAGCCTGGGGTGGAGCAGCTCCCAGTGGAAGGGAGCATGTATATACTGATTCAGCATTCCAAGGAATATGATTATCATAATGGAACAGGTTTTTCATGGTGGAATATTAGGCCACAGTGAAGGGGTCTTGAGAATGGAGTTGTTGGCCTCAAATGTTGAGAACAGCTGAGGGGCAGGTAGGAACTATGACTATCTCAATTTTATTCATGATGCAACTAAAGCTTAGAGATTTAGTTAAATAATAAGACAATGGTAGAGCTGAGACTGAAACTCAGGGAGTCTGATTTTAAAGCTCATTTTCTTAACCTCTAGGTTATCATGCCCCAGAGCTAGAAATTTCCAGCCATGCTTTTTTTAACAGACACTTATGAGGCATCATGGTAGGTGAGGAAATGAACAACAAAGACAAGATTTCTCTGTCCTGAAAGCAGTCCAGTAAGGATACAAACCAGAATGTAGTCATTACACACAGAAGAATTTTGTACACACAACAAAAGCCTTTCCTTAGTGGTCTGATCTGCTAGAGAGCAGAAAGCACCTGATGAGGACACCTCGAGACCTCGCCTGTTCAGGTGAGCCACGGAGTTATTTCTCTCTAGCCACATGCCAGCCTAAGAACTTCTTGGTACTGAGGAAGCAGACAGGAGGGCTGAGGCTGTGGTCTGTAGAGGGGGCCACACCCTGCCTCTTTGCAGATCGACAGCCACAACCATCATGACAGACTCCAGCTGGGAGGTAGGTACATGGGCATTCATTATATTTTCTGAATCTTTTTTTAATATCTGCAATCTCTCAAAATAACAATAAATCATGTTGCAGGAGAATTTCATGATATGAGAAAATATTCACAACATAACCTTAACTGGAATCAGTCTATTTACAAAGCAATTTATTTAGAATATTTCTAATTTGAGGGGGAAAGTAAAAAAGATCAAAATTATTTACCTAAGTGATGAGATTTTTGAATTTTTTTTGTATTTACAAATATTGCATAAGGAGTATGCATTACCTGTATAATTAGGACATAGGTTAGCATAGTACCTAACGTGATTGCTCCAAAGTCTCAAGCTCTTTTGTTTCAGCGTTGTACTCTCCACAAACAAGCACGTGTGATTGCTCCTGATGGTGACTTGACCGCCCGCCATCTTGCAATGTGTCTCTGAATGATTCCTCCGCATCTTTTCACAGCATCTTATGTTCTCTGTCTCCTTTGCTTGAGGGAGTCCAGCTCCATGGCTGTGGAAGGGAGGCCACATTTTTTGGCAGAAACTGAAGCGGAAAGCAGGGTAAAGGCAGATATAAAGATGGAAAGGCTGCAAGAAGAAATATAGCCTCAGTGATTCAGGATGATCATGGATCCATATAAACAAAACGTGCCCCTAAGTGTGCAGAGATGGTGCTTTATGGGGTCTGGAAGGCCTTCACATCTACAAATGTGTTTTATGGTCACAACAGAAACTGCTATTCCCACAACAAGTCGCTATTTCAAGTTCCTCTGTCTTTGCATTCACTCTTCTCTCTCCACCTGTAAAAAATCCAAGTGATTCACTTGGAGTACCTCCTCCGTGAAGCCCTTTCTTGAATCCAGGCAGAATTTACCTCACCTTCCTCTGTGCTCCCAGAATGCATTGTATATACCTGATATTTTCATAGTTACTGACGCTAGGTATTGGAATAAACCTACATTCTGCCTCCATACCCCCACCTGAACATGGCCTCCTCAAGGGCAGAAGTGGGGTCTTATTCATCTATGTGTCCTCAGCATTTAGCACCTTGCCTGGCACAGAGTAGGTGGTCAGTTTGGTAGACATGATGTAAAGGCAAGCAAGGAAGTTAATGTCACCTCCATTCAGGAAAGGAGTAAACTGATGCTCAATGATGGATGCCTAAAACCCCTCAGCTAGTAAGTGATGAAGTTGGAATTTGAATCTAGGTTAGTTTGACTGCCAAACCTGTGCTCTTTCAGTTCTGCGATTGATAGTCATCTCCATCACCATGACCATCGTTGTCTTCCCACTGATAGCACTGGGCCTGGAACATAATAAATTCTAGTTGAATGAATAAATTCACTGCTGCCATCATTATGATTATCACTTCCCCTTCTTGCTACCTAATAAAGCTTCTTTCTCAAACCTCTTGCCATAAGCATGTATTGACTGTTGAAACATCTAGTACATCTTAACTTCTTCTGTATCTCCTGTGCTGCTAGCTAGCACAGTTTTGACCTGTTGGCACTTAACAATAGACTCATTGACTTGACTTGTTGACCTTCACATTCTAGAATGAGGACATGTGCTCCAACTGAGGACTCAGCACATTTCCAGGAAGAGGGCACACAGCTTGAGCCTGAGGACAAAGCTGTCACTCTTCACATCTCCAACCAAAAGTTTAAAGTTAGTCTGGTAGAGTAGAAAGAACCCTGAACTTGAGAGCCAAAGCTCTTGGTTTATGTCCTTTTGCGTTGATTTGCAAAGTAATTTTGGACAAATCCCATTATATCTCTTAGTCTGTTTCTTCATGTGTGAAAACAAGAGAGGTAATATTTTTTACTTTCTTCACAGATTGGTATGAAGGCTTATATAGGATCATGTGTGTGAAATTGCTTTCACTCTGGGAAGTCTTCCACATGGGCAAGGCATTCATGTTATTAAAAATAGAGGGAATAGAGCCATGAACTAATGAAACAACCTATCCTCTTCCTACTCCTCCTCATATTTTGCTAAATCGTAGATCTCAAGTTCACTCTCCTCTCTTTAGAGCCATCTTGGATTCTAACATCCTTTGATTGTGTGTGCATACACTGTGTGTGTGTGTGTGTGTGTGTGTGTGTGTGTGTGTAAGAGAGAGAGAAGAAGAGAAAAACCAGACAAGGACACTTGTCATATTATTCTGGAGTTCTGGAAAGCATGTCCGAAAGGGATCTCAGGATTTGACTGGTACGCATGCAGCTCTTATTTGATGGTGTGCTATTTTAAACAGTTCTCAGTTGGGAGGCTGGCAGCTCTGATTGCTTTTCAGAGCCCTGTCTTTTATCACCATCGTTGTCTTCATGCATAAATCCAGTCTGCATCCCCACCTTCTGTTTCCTTTCTGTCTTTGAGCTGAGAAGTAAGCAAAAAGCAATTTAGTAGCTGGACTGGAGGGGGACTGGGTTACGTTAGAGAGATCCTTGGTTAATTGACTTGTTTGTTTTCAGATGAGTCATGTTCAGTCTGAGTTTTTCCTTAACTAGATGTTGGTGGTGGGGTTTTTCCTTGTTATGCTTCTTTCTTTTCTTGTTTCTTTGTCAAGCATAATCAGTGTTGGTTCTGATGGAGCACCAGCCTGACTTTGTAGGGAACTGTCTTTATCTTCTTTCCTGAAATTAGAAGGAAAAATGCCACACTTGGCTGCATTTGGATGAGGGCTGAACTTCTAAATCCCTAGCTGTTCTCTTCCCCAAGGTCAAGCTTAGCCAAATCTTTCTAACCTCGCATTTTCCTGTTCTCCCCACCTCATCTGCCCAGAGATAGTTAAGGCTCCTGAGGGGATCCTTTCAAACAGGTGTTTACATTCTTAAATTTCTAATCTGGATATTTCTGGAAACGGGTAAACAGAGCCTCTGAGTTCAGCAGAAAGGTCTGAGCAGCAGGGGATGGGAAATTTACCTGCAGAACAAAAGACTGAATTAAGGTTTGGCAGCCGTCAGTTGATAGAGGAACATAAACTGTTGAACACAGCTCCTGACACCTAACTGGTCTCATAAATGTTTATGGGTGAAGGGAGGGGGGGAGAATGGAAAGAACTGAGGGGAGGGGAAGAGGGACACCTCCTTTACTGACTCCCTGTTCACCTGATGTAGATGTTGGATTTCAGAGGTCTCTGTCCATCTTCTGCTCATCCTCTCTAGACACAGACTGCTCAAAATGAGCTCTGCACCTGCATCACCTAGGAGCTTCTTAGATATGTACACTGTCAGGCCCTACCCCAGACCCACTAAATCAGAATCTGCATTTTAACAAGATTTAAATGCCCATGAACACATCTACCCTTACAGCTTCCAGTATGTGTTTGCTGGTGACTTCTAAACATGCTTATGTAACCCTGCTGCTCTCAGAAACATCAGATTCACATCTCTAAATACCTACTGCCTACCTGACCGTCTTGCTTGAAGCTGACATGGGGTCATGTCAAACTTTATAGGACTAAAAGACAGCTCTTGAACCTCGGAACTACTTTGCTATTTTTTCTTTTCTCCAGAAACATCAATGACCCCCACAAAGATCCTCAAGCCCCAAATGTGCATGTTACTTTTCATTTCTCTCCTTTCCTCACCTCCACATCCAATTTACCAGCTGGTCTGATGCATTATTCTTCTAAGTGTCTATTCAACCCTCTCATTTCTCTATTCTCACTGCTGTAGATCTAGCCCCAAACACCCATTTTTGGTTTGAATTACTATTCCCTTCCATTTTATCCCCATTTGCAAAAAAGAAATTTGCCACTAAAGAAATCCAACCTTTATCTCTTCACTTCACTGTTTAAAATCTTCCAGTGGGTTCCTATTTCATCTAGAGTATAATAAAAAGAAATCATTATTTCAGTGAAAATTTCCCAGGAGGTCTGTGGCCTAGCTACATCTCTGACCCAAACTTGTATATTTGCCCACTCTCCTATTGGGCTCCACCCACAGAGCTTCATCCTAGGCCTTCCGTATGAGCTATTCTCACCATCTTGAATGTTCTTTCATGATCTTACCATACTAGTTCTGTTAACTCAAATCACAGCCCAAATGTCATCTGTTTAGAACAACCTTTCTTGATCATGTAATGTAAATTTCCTTCAGTTACTTTCCATGATAGTCACCTGCATAATACTCGTCACTGATTTTGTAATGCTTGTTGTTACATGCACATAAGTATATTTTTATATTTCTCCCTTTGAACGTAAGCTGCTTTTAAAAAGATCTTGAATGTCCTCTACCAGCTGTGGTGTTATGACACACAAACAAGCAAGATTCCTACAGATTTTAGACAACATGTAGACCAATACTATCGTTATACTTGTAGATTATTGAATAGGAGCTTTGCTGGTTGCCCAGGATTGTCAATGAGAACCCAAAGTTCATGTCAAAGGGAATCAAGTGCCAAGTGAATAAGGGCAGATACTACTTTGAGGACCTTGGAAACGTCAATGTTTTTCCCAATTTTCATCTCTGTCTATTTCTACAAACCTTGCATAAATAAAAGACTGAAGAGGAGAGGAGGATGCCCAGAATTAGAAGTTGCTGGCTTGGGAGGAATACTGTGGTCTTTTCTTTCCCTCTCTAGAGGCTATTCTCTCCAGCTAAGTGAGGAAATTTCCAGGAGAAGTATTACAGAGATTGGGGTGCTTTCAAGAGGGGAGATTGGGATCTCATTTTTGGTTAAACAGTTTATCACTACAGTGGACTGGCTTTCTAAGCAGGGTGCTCTTAAGATTCTGCGTTTGCCTAAGATAGAAGCGGGCTTCCTTAGTGGCTCAGTGGTGAAAGAATTCACCCACCAATGCAAGACATGGCTTTGATCCCTAGGTTGGAAAGATCCTTTGGAGA